AGGAGGAGCTGAATTCTCCTCCCCTTGAGTGTGGGCTGGATTTAGTAACTCACTTCTAACAATAGAGAGTGCCAGAAGTGGTCGTGTATGATGTCTGAGGTTAGGACAGAAAAGGCCGTGTGTTACGACAGAGGAAGCAAAAATACACAATGGAGAAAAGACAGTCTCTTCAGCAAGTGGTGCTGGGAAAGCTGGACAGCCTCATGTAAATCAATGAAATTAGAACACTCCCTCACACCACATACAAAAATAAACTCAAAATGGTTTAAAAACCTAAATATAAGACCTGACAGCACAAAACTCCTAGAAGAGAACAAAGGCAAAACATTCTCTGAAATAAATCGTAGCAATATTTTCTTAGATCAGTCTCCTAAGGCAAAAGAAATGAAAGCGAAAATAAACAAATGAGACCTAATCAAACTTAAAAGGTTTTGCACAGCAAAGGAAACCATAAACAAAACAAAAAGACAACCTATAGACTGGGAGAAAACATTTGCAAATAATGCGACTGACAAGGGGTTAATTTCCAAAATATACACACAACCCATACAACTCAAAATCAAAAAACAAACAAACAAAAAAACCCCAAAACAACCCAATCAAAACACAACAGGCTATTTCCCACCTCCATGCCTTCGATCATACTGTCTCTTCTGCCCAGTTCCCCTTCTCCTTCCTTCCCATCCTCGAAGACAGCTCAAATGCTGTTACTTTCTGGAAGATATCCCTGGCTGTCCTTAACGTGTCAGAAGTCCTGTGTGTGCCCCAGAATACCCTTGCGTGACTGAATCATTTCATGTGTCATTCCCTGCTGTGATGATTGGATTTCTTCCTTGCCTCTCCCATGAGATTATGAGCTTCCTGGGAGCGAGGATTCTTACCCAGGATTCCCTGAGCCTCGCACAGTGCCTGAGACACAGAGGAGGCCATCAGTAAAGGACTGATGTGGGAGAGGAAGGAAGGAGATAGGGAGAGAGGGAGCAAGGCAGAAGACAAAAGAAGGGAAGGAGGGAAGGAAAGTGGATGGCAGGAAAGAAGGAAGGGAGAGTTGTGGGACAAAGAAATTGAAGGAGGGTTGGAGGAAGGGAGGAAAGAAATTCCCCCAGTGTGCTTGGTACTTCAGGGACTGCTGTGAGGATTCAGTAACAGTATGCAGGTAACTGTCCAGTACATGGTCAAGCATATAGTAAAAGTTCAGACAATGTTAACTGCTTTTTCCCTGATTAATAACAGTGGTAGTAGCTTCAAACTGCCTTTGATTAAAGTCCAAATTCCTTGACCCAGTATTCAGAGCCCTGCACACTTCCTGGCCTCTCCCCCTGCTGCTCCCCTAAGTGGATGCCACACTCAGGGCAGATATGGCTTTCTCACCTAGGAGTCTCTGGCCACGATCTTCCTCTCCATCAGAATGCTCTCTCACATCTCACACCAGTCCACACCCTGCCTGCCCCACTCAAGCTTCACTTCCTGACTAAGCCAGCAGCCTCCTCGAATGCCCTGGGGTTTCCACAGCACTTAGGGCCGAGCGCATATTTGTGCCCACACTGTCCAAAGTGGGGCTTCTGTCAGCACCTCTCACCTACAGGACCCTTCTTGCAGGGGTCACATCTGATTTCCCCCTGCGGGAATTTATCTTTTTCCCCTATCAGTCCACATGTTCCAGGAATGGGCATGTGGCTGAGGCCTTAGACAAAGTCACACTGATTAATTAAGAGGTAAACACTTGACCAAAACTGAGCAAATCAGAATCAGCTCTGGAACTTTGGCTGGAACACATTGAGTAACAGGTGTTCTTTTTTCTGTAGGCATTGTTAAACTGAAGCGATGAAGATTCAGAGCTGTTGGTAGCCTTACTTGTCACTTTCAAGAGAGAAGTGGACTTAAAAATGAGCCAACACAGAGGAACCAAGAAATGGAGAGAAGTTTATTCTTTCTCTCCTTTCTTTCTTTCTCCTTTTTTTTCTTTTTTTTTTTTTTTTTTGGTGGGGGAAGTAATTAGGTTTATTTATTTGTTTTTTAATAGAAGTACTGGGAATTGAATGCAGGACCTTGTGCATGCTAAGCACACACTCTACCACTGGGCTATACCCTCCCCTATTTTTAATGACATTTAATGGAACCTCTGGATCTATCTGTGCCTGAAGCCAATGCTCTTGACTCTTAATTTATGTGAGCCAAAAACACTACCCTCTTTACTTTATTTCAGTTTATTTAAGCCAGCTGGAGTTGAGTTTCTGTCTCTTTTTACTGAAAGACTGCTGATCAATTTAGTGATTCAACTAGACTGTAAGCTTCCTGAGAGCAGGGATTGTATTTTATAGACCTAAGAGCCTTGGGGGCAGGGGTGATCCCAGTATTGCAACACTTAACAGAGGGATGATCAAAGAGCCCATGAGAAATAAACAAAGGAATAAGTATTTCTTTATATTTTCCCAATGGCCCAGTGCTGTGCACTCAGAAGACTCTAAAATACTTGAATAAAAGTTCACTTGAGTCGGGAGAAGATGTAGCTCAAGTGGTAGGGCACATGCTTAGCATGCAAGAGGTCCTGGGTTCAATCCCCAGTACCTCCTCCAAAATTAAATGAATAAATAAACCCAATTACCCTCCCCCCGCAAAGTTCACTTGAACAAGAACCACACAACAAGCACTCTAATTCTTATCTGATACCGACAGGACCCTTTGCTTCTCTACAGTTCCTCTGAGGATGTCTAATTTCTCACTTTCTGAATGGAATGTTCTTGGTAAAAGAGTTGTTCTAGGAACCACACATAGCTGATAGAAATACTTAAAATCCACTAATCTAACTGATTAGTCCCCCATTGTACAGATGAGAAACCTGAGGTTTAAGCTAAAAACAACTGCTTAACACTGCTTGGTAAGTCACATCCAGTCAGCTAAGACCCCATATTCCATGACTTGGTGTCCACTGCTCTGGCCTCTGCCCTAGTGCCACTTTATTAAGCAAAATGAATCAGTTACTTACCCAGAGAACTCAGATATCTCTAAAGTGGTATAAAATGACCTGCTCAACTCTGATAACCACCCTCAGGAGTGAGGCAATAACACAAGGGAGAGTGCACTGGGCCAGGAGTCAAGACTAATTTACTTTATTACTGGCTCTGTGACTTTGGGTAAGAACGTCACTTCTCTAGGCTCAGTTTCCATTCTCTAAAATGGGAGCAGCGGAAAGCAGGATTTGAAGGAGTTGATTTCTAAGATCCCTGAAATCCTATATTTACATGGTGGTTGCTGGACAGTTCATTAAACCCCCAAGATTAAACCGACATGGATTACAGAAAATTGGAAGGTCAAGAGGTCAGCAACCCATCTGCAGACTACAAATTCAGGTTGAGGAAATGGACATTCCAGCTGAGCATATATGCTTTCCAGCTTGCCTTTTAAGAGCAGAATGCAAATATATAAAATTGCCTCCTAGATATCAATTAATACAGAGATTCCCCCCACATCCTATAATTCTCCTTTCTCGCCTTCTTCAAAAACCGTAAAAGATCCCCATCTATATTGACTGGAGTGAGATGAATTTAAAACAACCCCACTAGAATGTCCACAATGAATAAATGCTGCCTCCTCAAGGTAGTCCCTTTGGGGAATTTGGGCAATTATTCCAAAGGGGCAGTAATTCCTCCCCACATTTGTAAAAGTCCTCTTGGGGAAGCAAATCAGCCTCATGATTTTGCCTTCACACGCTGGCTTTCATCTCCAATGACAATTCTCAATTTGATCTGATTACCCATTGTGTTTTATACACTTGGCCATTTCTAAAAATCCTATTCCTCTTTTAAAAGATGGAAGGTTCCCCTCAAAGATGATGTTCAAGAGAAAATACCCCACAATCCAAAAGACAATTCCATACAATGTTTTGAGCTGTGGAATCATCAGCAATTGATATAACACCTTCTCCAGGAGGTCTGTTTTGAAGGGGCTGACACTTGTTGAATGTCCCGAGGTGCTCATTTTTTAAAACCATCTCTGCTGCACAATCATCACATTTTCCTTTCTCTTTCTCAAGAGCCCTGGAGGGCTCGAAACTTTTTCCTTCACCAGACTTCATCATTCTTCTTCCATCCCTGCCATCCTCTGGCCCCACTTTGCACAGACCAACTCTCTTCCCTGCCTGCAATTAGGCAACTGCCCAAGTTGCTGAATCTTCAAAATCTGTCTTTGATCGAAAGGTAGGCGGGGATGGGGGACTCTAATGGATCCTGGAAAACTGTCTCAGCAGTTCTTATTCCCCAAATGCCCTCTCTTAGGGCAAGGAGTCTGTCTTAGCCAAACATTTCAGAGGGTCCCAGGGACACATTGCCATTGGGCATAGTACCAGAATCCTTCCTGCATTGGGTGGGGGTGGGGAGCTGGAGACCTGCCCTCCAGAGACCCATGTTGCCAGGTGTTGTCCACCACCTATATTTCAAACACTGGATAGACACTATAGACAACCCACTCCCATCTTATCACAGCATTTCATAGCTTACAAGTTACTCTTTCATAAGTTCTTGATCCCCTCTCCACCGTTTTACAGATGAGGAAACTGAGCCTCAGAGAAGTAAAGTGAAACAATCAAGTTGACAATGTTAGCAAGTTAAAATCAGAGCTCTTGATTCCACATCTCATGCTTTTTTCAATGCAACAGAAATTGCTCACACCTAGAGTAACTCCTCATTCAAATAACTATTTCCCCTAAGACACTCAACAGAGACTCTCAGAGACCCTCAGAAACTCAAACATAATGCTAACTCATCAGTAAATGCAGTCTGCCCATATCCAAGCAAAGACCCAGTTCTAAAGCTTTGCCCCCTGTCTCAAGATGTCTCTCTCATAAGATCCCCTCCCCAGTGGCTTCTTAGAGTCAGCAAAGGAGGTGTGTCTTTAGACAGAGGAACAGAATCTTTCTCTGATTCCTCCAACAAGGGGTCCTGAAAGTAAGGAGCTCTGTCCCTGGAGTCTGTCTAGGAGTCCCGCCCCCGGCCCTCCCCTACCTGCCAAGAGCTGCATCCAGGCGCAGATCTTGTAGACCGTGGCCGTGTTGCAGAAGAAGAAAAGCGCAAAGCAGGTGATGCAGCCGAGGATCAGCACCATGGAGAGCAGCACGAAGAAGGCGGCCGCCTTGAAGGCGCCGGACGGGATGGTGCTGAAGTCGGTGAACGAGCCGCGGCAGGTGAGCTCGCGGCCCGCCAGCCCGCTGCCCACACAGTAGTGGAAGAGGCCGAAGTAGCCAGGCTTGGGGGTGCTCACGCTGTCGCCCACCCAGTAGGGCTGGATGAAGACCACCACGTTGATGATGGCGAAGCAGATGGTGAAGATGGCCCATAGCACGCCGATGGCCCGCGAGTTCCGCATGTAGTGCTCGTGGTAGAGCT